ACATCATTAAAAAAAAACATCAATATACTCCCTCCGTTGTGTTTAATAAGGTGTTCATAACTAAATTGCGAGGACAATTGCAGGTAGTTAAAGTAAAAAAAAAAAAAAGAAAAAAGAAACCTTAATTGTTTTAAAAAGGAGTAGTAGCACAACTTTCCAAATTGCCTTCCATCATTTAATACTGAACCCTAGCTCACGTTAAATTACGAAGGGTACTTTGGGGAAAGATTCATCAATTAATGTATCATTGTTTTTCAATATATATACATACATATATTTTGGTGAAAGAAAACAACCAAAAAAATATTATAAAATCTAACAGAGGGAGTAATGATTAAGCAAGTAAATCGAGTGATGACCTTAATATTGTTTTGCTTACATGTAACTGCTGTGTTATACTATCTTCTTGATTTGAGAAGGTCACTCTTGGAAGCTCTGTGGTGTTTAGGGTTTGGTTTGATTTTACCCTTCCTTCTATTTGAATTGCAAATGAGTTGTGTGTTGTTAAATATGCATATCTGTTGAATGGAAGAGAATCATTCTGCCCAAATCAACCTTGTTAATTAGTACAGTATATATTATCCCAACCAAAGAAAATGCATCATCAACTACTAAATGATTACAAAATTTTCATTATTAAGCTATTCATTCAGGAATTTACAATAGAATAATTTACAATTCAAACCTCTTAATTATACAAACGTTAATACCACCAATCATTTTCAAGAATAATAATAAAATTAATATCTTAAAAAATTACTTCAATATAATATCTCCTAAAAGTTTTTAGAGCTTAATTATTATCTTCCAAATCATATGTTGACCTGTTCTATGCATCGCAAGAGGATATATAAAATTTTGAAAAAAAGTAAAATAAGAAAAATGATGTTACTGCATGCATTGATGAGTCGTCAATGACTGTAATAAACAGTAACAATACTTTTGATATATATGGAATATAGATTGTCAATAGAGCTTTTACCATGTAAAATCTCAAATCCCATAATATTATCCATGTAGTCCCCAAAAAGATGGAGAAATTAAAGAAGGTAATAAGCCAATTAATATTGTGATTTCTGATGATCTCTCTCACTGTGTCACGGACATACACAGACACAAACTACAAAAGTAGAGAATCTGTGGAGTAGAGAAGAGAAATTAATAGAGATGGAGATATATATACCAAAAGCTTAAATGGGTTTGAAATTGTTGATCTCACACATCTTGATCCCTCAAACTTTATAGGACAAGAACTGCAGAACTGCCCTCTCCACAGTGTCTTCTGGTTGAGCATTTTTCCAGAACCCGAAACAACAAAACAACGAATTCACTTTCTACCAAATAATCAATGAAACTCCTGCTTCGCCACTTGTGTGCGTCTTATATCTGATATTCGACTATCACACGCGCACACACACACACACACACACACACACACACACACCCCCATGAGAAACGGTGGACAAAACGAAGAACCTTATTGAGATTCTTATTATGATCAGGAACAGAAGAAGCAGAAAATGAAGAGATGAGAAAGATTGAAGCAATGACCAAAGGTAGCTGTAAAGCCATTGAAGAGACCAGAAAATAACAATGGAATGACGGTGAGGTTTCCGGTGCGTTAATTTGGAATCTGAATATGAAATGTTGTAGCTTCGTTCATTTAAACAAAGGAAACTTCCACTTCCGTGCAGTTATCAATTCTTTTTTTTTTTTTAAAATCATTTATATTTGATTTAGGGAAAAACTAGAAATTTTATTATCATTATCAATATTTTTTTAAAAAATTGTTAGATCAATCATTGAATTAGTTCAATATTAAATTATTTAATTGTAATTGACTGTTGTCCAATTGATCATAATGAGCTAACATATTTTTAAAATTAAAATTATCTATATTTATTCTGGTAAGTTCTTAACTAGTTTTTGATTTATTTTCAATCAAATTTAATAATTTTAAATGATACTTTCAAAAAAATGATAATTTTAATTTTAATCAAAATAAAATAAAAAATTAGTAAAATTTTTATAAAATCATTTAAATTGCAACTGAACAATTTAGATTATATATATATATATATATATTATATTTCACATATTTAAAACATGCAATAGATCAAAGCAAGTGCTTATGTTGTTTTAAATGACAATGAAGTTAAGAAATTAATATCTCATAATGTGAACGGAAACGCTACTGATAAGAACCATCTGTCCAGTGTCCCTTGAATTTTTGGAAATTCAAGTCACAATTGGTCTTTAAGGGGAAATATGTTTTATATGAACATGTCAAATTTTGTTACGTTCATAATAAATTAAAATGAAAATAATTCAGTGCCCATCGTGTCTCAAATAGAATTTGGATAATTTAAATTAGATCTAGATGTTCAAATTAGTAATAAACATCTATTATTTTTATAATTTTATTTTAATAAATATAAAAAATATAAATTTCAAGATCTAAGTTTAGACCGTCAAAAGCTCATTAGGGGTGATAAGCACCGAAGATGATTGCTGCGCAGCCATGGCCCCCCAAACAGCACATAAGCAACTAACACAATCATGAAAACACACACATATTAAAGAGTAGTGACCCCAAAGCTGAACGTAAGAACAAAGGTCGATAGACCACCATCCCCGATCATCGCATACTGAAATGAAATCTTGTTGAACTTCTTCAATCCCACCAAAACTCATCTCAGCATAGATAGTTGTGAAATCTACATGTTGATGTGCTTGAATGTCCATGTTTCTACGTACTCTTAACACCAAGTTTGACCTTATAGAAGTCTCATTATTTACTCCCTTCAATCCTCCTTCGTAATTTGTCTTGGAAACTCTTATTTCCTAGCCCATATTGGAAGGGAATTAACTCTCTCTTTCTTGCCAATAACTTGCGACTCCAACAATGGTTGGCGCCTCATATATGTTAAAGATGCAGAGAAGTAAAAGAAAAAAAAAAAAACCTGTAGGATGGATCAACCCTTATAGCAAATATATATATATTTTAAAAAGTTTAAGTGAGTTGGGTCCTATAAATTTAGTAAGGCCAAGACATGCCTACCAATAAAGTCTTTATGTCAACAACGAGATTAGATCTCATGATCTTATAGGTTATGAATTAGATTCTTTCCAAATACCTAGATTGAGAACTTTCTTAATTTTTTTAAGAGCTGTCTTATTTGCTTGCATTAATGCTTTTTTATATATATAGAAAAGATAATGAGTTAGGTCTTAAGAGCTTATTAGGGATAGTGCATACTTCTAAGTGCAAAAGTACTTAGAAAAGTATTTATAAATCGCCCACCAATAAATTCATCATGTCAGTAACTGAATTTGATTCTACAACCTATTAAATTATATATTAAATTCTTATTAATTGGACTAACTTGTATGGTTGTGTGCGTTAATGTTGGATTTCGAAGGAGAAGGTATTTCATGAAATCAAAGTCCAACAGTCCATTTAGCACTAAGGCCCAAAGTAATAAATGGACAAGTCCAACATTGCACGGGTCCCACTACTCCTCCAAATAACCCAATGCTGACATCATGTGTATTGAACCCCTCGCCCCCAACATAAAATGATAATGCTTCAATTTATATTTCAAAGGGAAATGTATTCAAATGTATGCCGTGGGATAGGATGAATGTGAAGTAGATATCCAAAATGAAATCTTGCTTGAGTTCGAATTAACAAATTGTCCTTAGGGGCAAAAAACATTAGGGAGATTATCAATAAAGGACCCTTTGCAATGATTTAATATCTGACAAGAATGACAGATTGGATATTTGTTAAAACATAAACTTTACTTGTTAATTAGTAATGTTTATTTATTAGAAATCATTATTAAATATTAAATCATCTCAAAAGTCCTTGAATGATATTTTTCCAAGACATATTATTATTTATCCAGGATGACTAGATGAGTCCTTTAAACATCAACCCTGGACATGGACAAAGCAATGACAATTGAAACAAATAAAAAAGATTCTATGATATGGAACATCATCCATATTTGACAACCCCATTATTTAAGATAACTTGACATTGGTGAACCAGAGGCATGTGGATGGATCAACTTGAACCCTGATGTGTAAAATCTAAAAACTCACCTAATGTTTTTGACATTTGAGGACTTAAAGGGCGAGCTAGTAAGTGTTTTGAAGGACCAAGTTTGTTGAGCATGGAAAATGATAATGTGATGTGTGATATATTGAACCTATGTAGTTTCCAAAATTTGAGTGATTTGAAATTGAATAAGAGTGAACAGTTTAGTCAAGTATACAGACTAAGTTGACTAAAATAGTATTTCAAACACATGTAGAGAAACTTAATGAATTAGGGATTTGACAAAATAAAAGATACATCAGTCAAATATAATTTATGTTTATTTTTCTTTAAATTTCATTAAATTTAACACGTTATTTTTAAATTAATATTTTATTTAAATATAAATTTTATATTTAAATATTTCCATACTTAATTATTTAAAGTTCTTTAAATTGTAGGGATAGAGTAGATAATTATATTATAAGGACAAATTATTAATTATAAAAATTTTGACATAATTATAAATAAAAAATTAAGCATTTTAGAATATTTAATGGAGAATGTTGTTAAAAATTGGAGTTAAGTATAGATTTTGAAATAGATGTGAGCTCTCTATAATTTTAGCAAAACGGGAGGGAGTTATTGTATTTTACTCAAACTATATCATCAAACTTATCCATAATTGTTGTTAAACTTATATAATAATTTATAAAATGAAGAAAAAATAAACCAGAGAATTTTATTGTCACAACCTGAAAATAGAGGGTGACTGGCATGGGGTGTGAACCACATTATACATTCCCATAAGCCTCAAAATTATAAGTTCATTTTATTTCTAAATTGTAATCAGATTTATAGTGAACTCATAACATGTTTTGCTTCTAATTATTATAAAATATTTTTAACATGTTTCTAGAAATTTCAATCGAACCTTCCCTATAAATAGCATCTCTTAAAAACTCTATGATACATTGATTTAGTCAAAATATCAAATAACTTAGGAGCTCAGCTCCTTTGTACTAGCAAATAGTATATAAGTCAAAATAAAGTCCTAACAATAACCTATGTGAAGCAACTAATCTTTCTTCTAAGTTAAAATACATGATTCTTAAATATTTACATCAAAAGGTAACAATACCAAGCAAAATTTCCACCCAATATAGCTGTATTGCCCTTCAAAAATCAGCAATAGGATCTGCATCAACTAATGAATTTGTGACCAAAATAAATTTTTCAATGAATGGCATCTCATAAATAAAATTCAATGAGTACAAATAATAAATTTAGATAAATATATAAAATAGTTGAAAAGATGATAATTTAATATAATGCACTCACTGAATTTATAAATCTTAATTTTAACAATAAAAAAAGTGAACGAAAAACACTATTCTGTTATGCTACAAGAAAAATACATTATTCACATGTGAATCAAGCTAGCACACTTACTAACTGAAACCATTAAATTTCAAATATACAAATTTATTTAAATTTAGAATTGTGAGGACTTAACATAATATGTAACAAATGTGAACACACAGTTCACGAGAATAAATAACTAAACGTGACTTATGTCATAAAAACAAACTTGGACACACAGTACACGAGGGTAAGTAACCAAATGTAGCCTGAGCTATAAAATAGACATGGACACACAGCCCTCATGGGTAATACTAACCAAACACTGCTCAAAGCCATAAAAACCAAATGCGGGTATGAAGCCCACAAATAACAAACATGAGGACAAAGCCCCTGAGACAAACTAGCTAGTTATTAACTATAGTACTACAAGTTAATGGAACTGTCATTACCAGCAGTGTTCTGTTTAGAGTTCTCTTGGGCATTACATTTCAAATATGCAAGAAAAACAATTATTTCTGAAATAAAATTTTTATTCTCAATGCCAAACTTATATGAATTGTTTTAGATCTCAAAACTTGCCAAAATAATACTTCACAACTAATGTACATACTTGCATTAATTGAGTAACTAAGAAATTCTAAAGTTTATTAAACAAAGATGCCTTCATAAAACTTGGAAGTATATTTCTTGAGGAAAAATAAATGCACATATTACAAAATTATCCTTCATCATTATTCCATAATTTTACAACTAGAATAATTCATAAGGATAAAATATTTTAGTAATATACTATTAATGATAAATTAAATGGGATGTTATTCACTTACATGTCTGAGTTTCAAATTTCCAAAGATATCTTTGCATTAATTCTTGTTAGGGTCATGTTCTTCCACACACCCTATAAGGATATAAATAAATCTAATTTTAATAAATTTTTAATTTATTACACAGTCTCAACCAACCATTATCATTTAAAATTACAAGACAAATAATTCATACTTTAGGGTTGATCCAAGTATTATCATGCATATTACTAGTCTCCACCAATTTGTTTTTGTCAAAACAATCTACTTACTTGAGGCAAAATTTACTCTTAGGCTTTGCACCAACACCTTAGGTGCATTGATTCCAATCATTCAATTAAAATATCCAAAAATTCACTAATACCCATACAAGTTCCAAGTATTTAAATAGCTACATGTAAACTCATTATCAAATTCCTTTACAAATTTATAAGTTAATTCCCAAATCAATAACTTCTATACTAACATACTTCTCACAAGGACCAATGAAATTTTCAAAAATGCAAAATCAAGTAAAGCTTCTTCTAACAGGGCAATATGTCAAACACCTTTCATTCATTAATTATTCAAGCTCAACTAAAATTCTTCCTCTTTGATTCCATTTCCCACAATTCTCTAATATATATATATATATAAATCAACAATCAACTTCCTAAGTTCCTTCTCTTCACTGGATAAATAAGTCTTAACTTAAGAAAATTATATCATCATTTCCTTTATTTCACTTGGCAACCCTAAACCCGAATTTCGGCTCAATATTTAATTTTCCTCTTCTCCAAAATAGCATGAGCAGCAGCAAAGCACACACTGAAGTTCTGTAATTTCACACAGCAACAGCAGAACACACAGACACACACACAAGGCTAACAAGAAGAAGATGATGAACAGAAGGCTCCTCACCTTGGGCAGTCACGACACTTAAATAAGAAGAGGCAACAAATCTACAGCGAATAGGGAAGAAAGCTCGACGCTACAACACGTTATGGGGAGGAGAAAAATTGATGGAGCTTCCACAGTCTTCTTTTACATCTCAGGTCGTTGATAGCGCACGCATAGGGAAGAAGAAAAAAATGAAACCTACAGCTGAACAGGGGAGAGGGAAGCTGAATGCTACTCGCAAGAAAGGAAAGAAACCGAATTAGCAGCAACAAACCAAGCTCATGACAGCACCACTAGCAGCTCCGGCGACTTGGCTTCTCACCATAGTAGCAACTCGAACGTGAACGACACAGACGGAGTAGCAGACGGAGAAAAAAAAATAGAGATGGGAGCTATGAAGGTGAACCTCCTGGACGTCTCAGAGCTGTGATGATCCTCCACTCTCACCAATGACCACTGAAAACGAGAAGAGAGATGGCGATAGGGAAGGACGGAGACACGAATTGCACTAAAGTTCCAGATTTCTCTACCTCTCTCTCACACTCTATAAACCGACTCCAATAAGAGAGGAGAAAGGAAAATAAATTTGGGGAGAGAGGGGTATTTTGGTAATTTTTGAGGAGCTGAAAAAATAAAATTCTATTTTTGTATCATGGGTTTTAAACCTGAGACCTTAAGAATGACTAACATACATACTTTCACTCTACCAACACTTCATATTGTCATAATTATTCTATACATAAATAAAATATATTCTAGACAAATTATTGTATATTATATATTTTAAGGTTATTACACTTATAATTTTTTAATTTTTAGTTAGTCTCCCATAGTTTGGAAAATTAAATTTTGAATTCTCCATAGAAGAAGTGCCAGATTTAGCATTTGATCATGTCTTGATTAAGATTATCTTCAATAGAAAGACATTTGTCCTTAAAAATAAAAATTGATGAAAATTGCGAGGACCACTATTTCTTTAAGTGAAAGAAAAACTTTTCTACAAATAAATTATATTTTGCAATGAAAAGATTATCTTTCCACGCGATTTTCTAAGAGCAAATTTATATTCATTTCAAATACTCCACTTTTTTACAAAAAATATCACAGATATTTTTCGTACAGATTTTTCATAGGGAAAATAACAACCAAGAACCATTGAGCAAAATTAATATTAGTTAAGGGCCAATAGACTTTAAAATTGCACTACAATTTTTTGGTCCTTAATTGATATTAATTTTGTAAGTCAAAAGATCAAATTACCCTTAAATTTGAAAAGAAAAAAGAAATCCCACCATCACTGGCATAGACCATCGGACCGCCACCAAAGCTCCTACCACTAGCGGGGCTCCATGTGGTAGGTCACCTGAACTCTAGCACTAGTGACACTTATTTAAGAATAATTAGTTTGTGTGATCCTATATCCCATGGTCACCTAAAAAGTTTGGTGGCCTTTAATTATATATGGCAAAACAAATAATGTACTAAACCAAACTTTTAACCACTTCCATGATATAACATAATGATATGATGTTAATTCTTGTTTTATTAATGTTACTTGTTAATATGACATAGATAATTATAACTTGAGAACTTTAAAACTTTATGCATTTTATTTGTTAAAAGTTTGAATGTATTGTTATTAATCCAAATAGGTCACTATCAAAATGTAAATGAATATTTGTTGACAAAGGACTAACACGTACAATTAAGCTTATCTTATCAGTTTTTTCTAACTTATTGAAACCCAAATAGATCGTTGTTAATTTCAAATGAATTATTGTAAAAACCTAAATGAATACTTGTTGATGAAGGACTAACACTTATACAATTAAATTCATCTTATCTATTTTTCTTACTTGTTAAAACTCGAATGGTTTGTTGCTACTTTAGAATGAGTTATTGTTAAAATTTGAATGGATACTTACTGATTAAAGACTAACATATATAATTATGCCTATCCTATTTGTTTTTCTCACTTATTAAAGCCTGAATAGACTGTTGTTAATTTAGAATGGCTTGTTGTTTATATACTTGTTTCACTAGACCTGTACTTTTAATCATCAACATCAAGTATTCATTTAGGTTTTGACAACAACTCATTTGAAATTAACAATTGTCCATTTAAGCTTTAACAAGCCAGAAAAACAGATAGGCTGAGCATAATTGTATGTGTCAGTTTTTCATTAATAAGTATCCACTTAGGCTTTAACAACAATTCATTTGAAATTAATAATAGTTTATTTGGTGTTTAATAAGCTAGGAAAACAGATAGGATGGGCATAATTATAGGTGTTAGTCTTTTCTCAACAATTATCTACTCGAATTTTAACAATAACTCATTCTAAATTAATAATAGTCCATTCGAGTTTTAACAAGTTAGAAATGTGGATAAGATGGTTTAATTGTACAAGTGTTAGTCCTTCATCAACAAGTATACATTTAAGTTTTTACAACGATTCATTCAAAACTAATAACAATCTATTCAAGTTTTAACAAGTTGGAAAAAATTGATAGGATATTTTTAATTGTACATGTTAGTCATTCATTAAAAAGTATTCATTTAGGTTTTGACAATAACCTTTTTGTAATTAACAACTGTATATTTAGACTTTTAATTTTTCTAATAAGTATACATTCTCATTACTCATTAATATGGAATATTTCAATTTTCCTTTTTTTAATGCATATTCAAAGCATGAATATGGAATATTTCAATTTTTTTCATCACATATTTTTGAAAAATTCCCTTATTGAAAATAAAATCAATATTATTTTTATATACATTTTATAACATCCCAAAATCTATTCCTTGAATTAATGAAAAAATTCATAGCACTTAAAAAATTTATGAAGATATATAAATATCATAGTGCAAATAATTTATAATTATTTTATGATGTGCAGGGGTTATAGTGAAGTGAAGAAAAGTTCATAAAAATGTAAAAACAAATGCATTCTGAATGTTTGACACTGAAGTTCTAGACTTGTGAGCCTACAACATGTTCTAATGTGAATGATTCTTATCATAGAAAGTATGAAATTGCTCTCAAATAATTTTCACATTGAATTCAAGAAAAAAATAAAATAAAATAACCTATTTAAAATAAGTCTTATCTCGTTCTTCATACTCTTGAGGTTTTGTCACTTAAGATCACCATGGATCTGCACAAGTAACAAACTCATTTCTCTTTTGTTTTGTAATAATAAAAACATATATGTTTTAACAACTCGCCAATTACATGCTCGTTGCCTTTTATAGAGAGAGACAACAATGCTATCCTTCAAATTTGAATTTTACTACCAGAAGGAGCGATAACCGTTTGCTCTAATCTGAGCATTGTGGGCGTGCTTCGTTTAGGAGGAAAGTGGGGAAAGTGGCCTCAAGACAGGGATGCCACTCCATCAAAATGCAGCGTTTCCACTAAAATGCTGCTAGGGTTTGCTCTTATTGGGTTGTAGTGTGGTTTCCTCCGTATTGGGTAGTGGATTTTGAAGCCTAATGCGCCGATTTTGTCCCAAACATACTTTATTAATTACATAACATAGTTATTAATGATATGGGGTTTTGGCAAAAATTTAAAAGTTAGGAAGGTCAATTTTAATTAAACATTTGAAAGAGAGAGGGTTTTTTTTTTAATCAAAAAAAGTGAGAGAGTGATAAACAACTATCTTAAAAATCAAGAGAATTTTGTATAATTTAACCTTTATAATACCATTCACATCGAATTTTTACTCCGTGGTTCTTTCCTCTGCCTTAAATAGATTTGTGTTGATATGCAATAATCAATAACTCCTTAAAGTATTAATTCCTCATTAACTACCTCAGAATAATATTGAATAATTTTCAAAATTTGAAACCATTAACTAAGTTTAGTCCTATTCCTTAATCTTTTTTTGATGGGTTATTATAATAAGGATCAAAGGGGTAATATTCAATGAAATAATTTTGCAAGTAACACAGAAAACATCTGTCTCAACATTTGAAGACAAGCTTCACGAGAGGATTCTCAGGCTAAACATCACCACATTAATTAGTTCTTGGGTACACAGTCACATAGAGTTCGAAGTTCACAAGCATACGTGCAGGGAGTGAAGAGCACAGTGATATTTGTTATTTTTTGTACGCCCAAAGCCCAGTACCCTAGAACAAAACACAGTAATGATTGATGTAAGAAATTTAAATATACACCTGCATTCTTAATAGAGCTGATAATTTGGGCCAAACTTAATAGGTTAACTTAAACCCGCTCCAAAGTCTTAGGGTCGACCCAAAAAAATAAATTTTTAATGTTTGGACCTACTTAAATAGGCCCAAAAAAATTCAAGCCAAGCCCGATCGGGTTCAAATTTGGCCTAAATACCCGAATTAAAAATAAAATTTTTAAAACATATAAAAAAATAATAAATATTGTTAATTATTTATGGTTTTATGTCATTTTATATTAAAATACCATATATTTGAGTGCATTACTTTAGTTTTTTTAAAAAAATTATAAATATTTATATTTTCATATTTTTTTATTTTTAATTAATAAAACATCTCAAAGTAATATTTAAAACATATTTTAATATTGATTTTTATATTTTAAGACCCAATTTTTTTAAAAAAAGTTGAGTCCTATATATCATTTGTGTATGCAAAATATATATTTTACTTTTTTATAAAATAAGATAATTAATTTAAAAGTAAAAATAAAATTAAATATAATTTTAAAAATAAAATTTAGACATTTTTGAATTATCAACTCTATTACTAGATAAACATAATAAATGAAACAATATTCTTGAAGAATTATTTGATTATCATTCATGCCAAATTTGGTTAAAAATTAAGAATAAGCTAGAGTAAACACCTCTTATATGTATGGGTTAAACAATATAAAAAGTTAAAGAAAAATAATTTCAAAAAAATAGTATTTTACTTATAATTAAATGATATATTTTATATAATATAATAATGGCTATTTTTCTCATGTTCTTACAAAACAAAAAGTACAATATGCCCAAAAGTTATTAAAAACTTTGAATTAATCAAGCAATAATTTTAAGTTAGTGGTCTACAGTGATTGAATTGAGATAAGCTTGATTATAATTAAAATAATATAATTTAATTAAAATATATAAAATATTTATATATAATCATGATAAAAGCAATATTTAAACAACTAAGATATTAATTTACAAATAAAGAAAATATTCATGAATAAATTACACATAATAAAAAAATAGTAATAGAGCTACTTAAGTACAAAGTTAATAAGTTATTATTTTTTAAAGCTAAAATAATATTTTATGCTTCACAAAATTATTTAAAAATTAAAATTAGTTCAAAAAATAAAAAAATATTTTTAAAAAGTTTCGCCCGAATAAACTTGAAGCCCGAAAGTATTAGGACCAAATTTGGCTATATAGGCTTTTTGAAAAGTGAATGATACTTGTAAACTTGATCTAAATAAGCACAGCTTGAATTGAGTCTAACCCACCTGAATCATAGGCTCTAATTGTTGTGGGAAAAAATCATTAGG